TGACAAGTCTGCTGTTTTTTTGCTTAGCGTCAGGAGTAAGGAGCTAAAAAAAATTATCTGGATATTTTTTCTCGACGCCTGTTGGCTTTTTGGCCCGGTGGGGTGCATATGTCTGGAGGTCTTGGCCTGACAGTCACATGGGCCCACACAGGCTGGCAGCGCCGCGCCCACGGTCAGGGGAGTCTGAGGTCAAATTCGGTCGCGGCCGAAAATCGAGACAGGGCAGGTGCTGCCACTTCCTGGGGGGAGCTCTGGTACCTGGCCTAGTTCGGACGGGCAGAAGGGGCGTTCCTTTCCTCAACGTGGATGTCTGCAGCTCTCCTCTGAATCGCTCTGCTGTGGTGTTTCAGACGCAGGGTTCGTGAGTACTGCTGGGGTCCCTCTCTGCCTGTGACAGTCTCCTGTTCCTGAGGCAGTGGTGAGGTGTGAGCAGGGTATCATGGAACGCACCGCCCACGTTACTTTGCGAGGGCTGTGGTCTGCTTTCTGCCGATTACTCTCATTCCCCCCTTTTTGTGCGGACTGTACGCCGGCGCTTCTCTCCCAGGCTTTATTGTCCCCCTCGGGGTCCTTGGTGGGTTTGGGCAGTACCGCGTTGTCCCTTGAAGTTTTTTCTTCTGCCATGGATGGCTTGGTGTCGCGTATTGACTGTTCGCTGACGCAAAAGCCCCCTAAGAAACGTACTCTGCTGTTGCCTTCCCCTGCCCCGGCGGGGGGAGTCCGAGGAGGAAGGGGAGCTTTCCATGTTGTCCCCTCGCCCTGATCCTGGGGGTTCTTCCCAACCGGAGTCGGGCAGTGAGGACGAGTCGGCGGCTTAGCTCCTGGGTCAGGAGCATGAATTGGTCTCGGCGCTGATGCAGGCGGTTAGGGAGACCCTCAAACTTAAGCGTTGGTATAGTGGTGAGCATACCTGCCCTCCAAGCAGTTGACCCTGGTTAGTTTCCTGGCCAACGCACCAAAAATGTTCCTGGTTCTTCCGCATTGCCTTCAGTTCGAGACACCTAAGGGTTGGCGTTCCGCTAGGGTGTTCCCCCTACATCCTCTTTTTCGATCATTTCATTTATAAAGAGTGGAAGCGACCTGCAAAGTCATTCGCAGTTCCGAGATGTTTCTCTGTTCGCTATCGTTTTGAGGAGGTCTTTTTGGCTAAATGGACGTCTTCCCCTTGCGGTGGACCCTCCCAGTTTCTCGCCTGAACAAGGTTACGGTTATCCCGGTGGAGGACTCCCCGTCCTTTTGGGACCCCACCGATAGTCCGTGAGACTGCCTCCGCTGTCCTATGTACTCTGTCTCGGGGCCCTGATGCGCCCGGTTCTGGCTTCTGCCTTGGTCTCCCAGACTCTGACAGTATGGGCAAAGATGTTGCATCAGGGGCTTGCGGAGGTAAATGTTTCTCCCGCTTATGTGGAATTGGCGGAACAATTGGTGCAGGCCTTTCGGTATGTATACAACTCTGCCCTGGATGCGGCACCTCTGGTGTCGACACGGTCGGTGTCGGCGGTTACACGTCGCCTGTTTTGGCTCAAATGCTGGTCGCCTGACCAGGCTTCCAAGGAAGCTCTGACGGAGCTTCTCTTTACCGGGAACCGTTTATCGGTACCTCCTTAGATGAGATTATTAAGGATTTGACGGGGGGTAAGAGTGCCTTATTACCTCAGCCGCGGAAGAAGGAACAGCCGCGGAAGCCTGGTCCCTCCTTTTCTGCTCACAAATGGCTTTTTCGGTCCCCTCCACCCTCCGAGAAGGGCGGTAAGTTAGCCAAACTTCCTCCCTCCCAGACTGCCAAGCGTCCATGGCAGCCTAAGTCTGCCAAGCCCTCGTCCGCATGTAGGTCTGGCCCTAGCTCTGGGTCCCAGGGTGGGGGGGTACCTTTTGCAGATTTTTGGGTGGCTCACGTCTCCGACACCTGGGTGCGGGGTCTGGTTTTCTTTGGGTTACCAGATCGAATTCTGTCCCATCCCGGGAACAGGTTTTTCCCATCCCCAACACACGACTTTCCCCTCCAGTGGATCTTCACCGCACGGTGGCGGACCTCTTGTTCCAGGGGGTGATTGTGCCGGAAAGGTTCGTGGGATTTTTTCCGACCTGTTTACCGTGCCCAAGAAACGGGGTTCGGCCCATCCTGGGCCTCAAACGTTTTGAACACTTTTGTGTGGGTCCGTGGTTTTTGGATGGAGTCTATCAGGTCTGTAATGGTGTATCTCCGTCAGGGGGATCTGCTGGCCTCTGTCGACATCAAAGATGCCTACCTTCATGTGCCCATTTGTGTCTCATCAGCGATATCTTCGTTTCAAGGTGGGGGAAGAGCACTTCCAGTTTGTGGTGCTGCCTTTCAGCCTGGCGTCGGCCCTGCGGGTGTTCAACAAGGTGTTAGCCCTGGCGCTGTTGCGTTGGCGGGGATCTCGATCGTGGGGTATCTGGACGATCTTCTTCTGCGGGCAGTGTCGCACTCTTCTCTGGTGACTGGTCTGGAGGTCACTATGCGGTCCTTGGGGGAGATCGGATGCATCCTGAACTTCCAGAAGTCTTGTCTGGTGCCTTCCTGTGACTGGACACCGTTGTGGCCTGAGTTTTTCTTCCTCAGGACTAGCTCCTGAAACTCCGTTCCAGCGTGCGTCTGTTGCGGACTCGCCGGTGGTCGTCCTCTCACTTTTGCATGCAGGTCCTGGGTCTCCGAGGCGCTGCCCTTTGCACAGCACCACGCCTGGACTCTTCAGAGGGACATCCTGTTACAGTGGGACGTGTCCCCCTTGTCCCTGGACAGGGGATCGATAAATGTATTGGATCTTCGGGCGATTCGCCTATCTCTCCATTCGCCTTCGGGGTCTGACGGTTCGGGTCCAGTCGGACTACGCCACCGTGGTGGCGCACATCAACCACCAGGGGGGCTCCAAAAGCGTAGCCACAAAGTCGAGAGGTGTCTGGGATCCTCTCCTGGGCCCTGGGTCCTAAGGGATCGGGGGTTGTCCGATGCGGTCACTTCCACGATGCTCAGGGCATGCAAAGCGGTTTCTGGGAAGATATACCATCGCATGTGGAGGGCCTATTTTGCCTGGTGTAAGGCTGGGGCTCTGTCTCCACGTTTGTTCTCGATCAGCAGAATTCTTGCATTTTTGCAGCGTGGGGTGGCTCAAGGGTTGGCCTTGAGCACGGTGAAGGGCCACATTTCTGCATTGACTGTGCTTTTCCTGTGGCCGTTGGCGTCTCTTCTCCGCTCGCCTTTGGCGCCGTGGAATCTGAATATGGTGCTTTCGGTGTTGCAGGAATCTCCCTGTGAGCCTCTGCTTGTCTTTGTCCAAAAAAGTGGCCTTTTTGGTTGCCATCACTTCGGTTCAACGGGTGTCTGAGTTGGCTGCCTTGTACTGCAAGTCACCGCTGCTTGTTCGTCATAGGGACAAGGCTGTCTACATCCTCGACCAACCTTCCTGCCCGTGTCGGCGTTCCATCTGAAAAAGGACATTGTCTTGCCTTCTCTGTGCCCAAAGCTGGTTCATAGGAAGGAAAGAGCGCTGCACTGTTTGGATGTGGTTCGCGCTCTTCGTGTTTATCTGGTAGGTACGGCTTCTTTCCGTGAGTCAGATTCAGTGTTCATACTCACGGAGGGCCCCCATACGGGCCGGGCCACGTCGGCGGCTACCATTTCTCGGTGGATTCGTCATGTTGTTCAGGTGTATGCCGTTAAGGGGCGCGAGCCTCCCTTTCCTGTCACTGCCCATTCTACTAGGGCTGTTAGGGCATCTTGGGCCTTCCGCCATGTTGCCTCGGTTTCTCAGTTTTGTAAGGCCGCTACTTGGTCTTCTATTCACACCTTTGTCAAGTTTTATAAGGTGGATGTTTCGGCATCGGCGGATGCTGGGTTTGGGCGCAAAGTGTTTGAGGGGTCTTTTGGGAATTTTGGTTGTTTTGCCCATCCCTCTGTGTGTTACTGCTTGGTGACGTCCCTACAGTACAGGATCTACGATCTGTTGCCCTGTGTCCTTCAATGAACGGAAGAGAAAATAGGATTGTTGTACTCCCCGTAAAATCCTTTTCTCCGTTCATTGAAGAACACAGGTCCCGCCCTCTATATTGGGTGTGTACTCCTAACTGCCTGTTACTTACTGGAGACTTGTCAGCAGGTGGGGGGTTGGGCCACCAGCAGGGGCTGCCCCTAGGCTGTCTGTGGTTGTGTGCCTAGCGTCCTTCTCCTGCAGGTGGCGAT